TCGTATTTTAAATTTCAATCTAGGGTGCCATGGTGTTGTTAAAAACACTAAGTTTTAATCAAGGAGCCTTGGAAAAATAGTTTTAATCTTCTAATGGGTTTCGTGTCTTGTTTATGCCGGTTAAAAGATGTACAAATCTTAGTTTTAATCATACATATGTCAATTTTTTCAAATTGAACAAGGGAGACTCATTAGCATATTTGGAAAAAGCATTTTTTTATGAATATATTGATACCACACACTTGGTATTTCGAGTCAAATTGTCGTTATGAACCGCGTGTTACAATTACAATTAAACCATATGCGAAAATGTCAAAAGTTGACATATTATGCTATGTCATTCTATTCAGAAATCAATATTATTATTAAAAATGAAATTGTTATCATTTTCTATCGAATAAAGTAGAAATATACCGAGGGTGCCATTTAAAAATTAAAAGTTATATTCATTTCCGGTGAAACAGGAAGTGACCAAAAACAATTGAATGCGTCAATCAATCTAATTTATGTAATTTTTTATTTGAAAATATAAAAAATTATGAGGATGAGCCACTTTGGAACGCACCCGGTATAATAAAGACAGTACCGAGTTAAATAAATGTAGTTTTCATATTATCCACTCCTATCACCTTCCTTGCTTTAATGGAACAGATTTATGTTTTCTCTAATTTACATAATAAGACGTCACTTAACCAGAAAAAAAATTACAAAAATCATATTTTTTTTCTCTCCCTGTCGCCGATTCTATTATATCTGTGAAATAGATCCTGTTTTGATTAATATTAGGGGTTGTAAATGTTTGACTAAAATTAATAATTTATTATTAATTTCAAAAATTACGTAATTTCGATTATAAAATTTCTTCTATAACGTGTATTTTATTATTTTTATCCTTTTTGGACTCTAAGACGTTTTTTTCTAAACTTTTATTCAAAAAACCTGTCCTAAATCTTAATAAAATATTTAAATACGATATATTTTTAATTTAATTATAGCTTCATTAAAATAAAAAAGTTACCCGGCTATGATACGGAGAGTTCAGGTGTACTTGAGAAACGAAAGACAGTGTTGTGTTTCTCGGCAGAGTCGTCAGGGAACGACCGTTATGACAGAGACAACCTATCTATCGCTCGTGTCGCACTCGTTATAACCTAAAACAATAACACAACAATAACAAAACGTTGTCTGACCGCATGTTCCAGCTATTTATGAATGAGATGCTCAGTCTATATTTTATTTCAAGTCTATGGAAAAACTTAAATACGTCTAGAGAAATAAAGCATTAAAATTTTTACTGCATTTTCACAAAATCATAAATATTTTAAAAACGGTAAGATTAAAGTGCGGCAAACCTTTAGTTAAATTTACCTTTATTTTAATCGTAGAAACAATAAATGTAATAAAACGCAGGGTGTAAACACAGCATTAAAAAAATATAACTTTGATGTATTTTATATATTTGGGACACTTTAAATTCTAGCTTTAGCAGTCCCTCAATGATCCCATCACTCATAATTTCTAAAAATCTAATCGTGGGGCTACAATACTCCGTATCGAATGAAGGGAATAACCCTGTATAAGAAAATTAAAAATTATTCAATATGAACATTTTTAGGGTTCCGTACCCAAAGGGTAAAAACGGGAACCCTATTACTAAGACTTCGCTGTCCGTCCGTCTGTCCGTTTGCTACAAAGGTCTATTTTATGAACCGTTATAGCTAGACAGTTGAAATTTTTACAGATACTGTATCTAATATCTGACAAACGAATCTAAAGGTGCGTATTCATTATCCGCACGAACGAACGAACGAACGTACGCTAGTGGTATGGACGGGGACCGCACGATAGGACCGCACGAGAAGACCGCACGCATTTCTTCATTCGCGCGCCAGTTCAAATCGTCAAGATATTGTTATAAACCTGTTTTTTTTTTTGTTTATATACCGTCATTGAATTATCGCTAAGCAAGTTACTATGGAGCAGTGCATAAGGAGTCGGGCTAGGAAGCGAGAGACCGGAGTTCGAATCTCGGCCGGAACATCACTTTTTATTTTTTTTTAATACTGTTGTATTCTATAGTTTATTTTGTAGTATAAGAAAAAGAACTATTTATTCTGTTATTTTTAATCTCCGTTTAATATAAATTGATTGTTAGTACAATACCTCATTTAATATAAAATAATATTCTACTTTTGAAATGTATCGGGGCCCTAATTGTACCTAAAAAAGTAATATATTTTTAGTGATATACCATATTGTAAACTATTTAATATTTCAGTCGCTTAAAAAGTTAATTTGCATTGAATAATTGCCTACCATTAAAGGAAATTTGAGCTATATAACCCTTGATGGGCATATTCTGGGTATGCAAATACTTCCTTTAAATTTTGGGTGTGGTTCAACCGATTTATTCTCAAAACCAGAAACATCTACATATAAAAAGAAGCACAGGTCACTAATTATAATAAACTTCACCCTTGGTATTACTTCCACTAATTATAATAAACTTCACCCTTGGAATTACTTCTATCACAATTACTATACGTTCATCTGCATTGGCATTTTCTACTTTTCGATGGGAAACAATAAACTTCCCAACATTTTTTAAATGATGTAACAATTCCTCTTGTGGTTACTTTTCCATAGATATCCTCCTGTCCTCGTGAATTCAGAGGCAATAAAAATGAAAATTATTTACCATAAACATCGCAAACTAAAAACCTAATAAACAATTTTATACCGAATATAGAAATAAATTTAGTATTTTTACCTATTATCGTCCAAATCCATGTTAATATATAATTATTATTTTTAAATATATTTTTGGAACTGCTGGTTTTAGTAATTATTAAATTAAACGAACTAAAAAGTCTTAAAAAATAAAAAAAAATTCTTACCATAACCTCAAAAATGCAGATCTCCTGTCAACTTTCTTTATTTTTTATTTATTCCTCATTTTCCTAGTAACGTCACAGGTGGTATGCGCGAACTGAACGAAATTGGAGCCGCTATCGATCATACCATGTATTCTTTGTACCATGACGTCTAAACGCCTTTGATGTACCGACTCGAAGCGGATGGTCGAGCGCACGAACGAACGAACGGCCGCATGCGTTCGGTCCCCGTCTAAATATACCGCACTTTCATTCGTTCGTTCGTTCGTTCGTTCGGATAATGAATACGCACCTTAAATCTGAAAGCGCACGCAGGCGAACGCCTGTGATGTACCGACTCGAAGCGGATGGTCGAGCGCACGACCGAACGAACGGCCGCATGCGTTCGGTCCCCGTCTAAATATACCGCACTTTCATTCGTTCGTTCGTTCGTTCGTTCGTTCGTTCGTGCGGATAATGAATACGCACCTTAAATCTGAAAGCGCACGCAGGCGAACGCCTGTGATGTACCGACTCGAAGCGGATGGTCGAGCGCACGACCGAACGAACGGCCGCATGCGTTCGGTCCCCGTCTAAATATACCGCACTTTCATTCGTTCGTTCGTTCGTTCGTTCGTTCGTTCGTTCGGATAATGAATACGCACCTTAAATCTGAAAGCGCACGCAGGCGAACGCCTGTGATGTACCGACTCGAAGCGGATGGTCGAGCGCACGACCGAACGAACGGCCGCATGCGTTCGGTCCCCGTCTAAATATACCGCACTTTCATTCGTTCGTTCGTTCGTTCGTTCGTTCGTGCGGATAATGAATACGCACCTTAAAACAGCGGAAGGAATTCGGGCAAAAAAAGTCGATGTTGTCACGTTTAATTATAGAAAAGCAAAGTTGCTCGATATTACCTATAAATTGAATATATTTTAGTTCATTTCGGCATACATAATTATTATATATATGCTAATATGTTGACGTAGTTCTTATTGTATTAATGTATATTTATCTAATTAACAGTTTTCGTTCATTCTCCCTATTATAAAAGGTAAAGTATTTCCTTAAGATAGTGTCCGCTTAGAGTAAGCTGGCAACGCTGACAAAATTCATCATGGCATCCCGGATTCAACCAGTCCGATTGGTCGAGATTCTCGCACGTCTTGCCGCCATTACCCCCAACTTTATGCCCCTCTCTAGGAATAGTAGAAACAGTCACTACTATTGAAAAATCCAGTGGCGGGGTTATTGTATTGCGTTTTGTATCTTTAACTTGATTTGTGTTTATTGTAATTAGTACACGCGTTTTAACAAATATTACTATATTTGGCAAATGACTAAACAAAATGTAGGTACATTTAAAGCAAAATAATATTATAAACTTTACTAGAAAATATTATAAAAACTCCTGATATATTTTTATGAAACACCGCACGCTCGTGGATATTTTATGAATGAAATTGGTCATTTTAGAAAATTGCGATCCCCTCACCGTTGCCCCGTTGTTTCAGATCCGTTTGTCAGACTGTATGATGCCGCTATAAGAACAAATACTAAAAACGGAATTAAATAAATGTTTATAAATAAAAAAGTACTTTCACTAAACATTATTTTTTAAGTAAGAATTTTACATAGAATCTTTCAAGTCCTCGGTGGCCGCGTGGTTTAAAGCGTTAGGACTTTACGCTGCTATGACGTTGGAGCCTTAGTAAGTTAGGTTCGAATCCTAGTCAAGGCGACTTTTTTATAATCGTTTTTTTTTTTAATTTTTACATATTTATTTTTACTTTTTACATATTTATTATTGATTAATACGATTTTTAGTAATGTGTTTCTTCATTTTTTTTTAAATTACTTATACGCGCATTCAAAATTTCAGCTAAATGGGAAAAAACGTTTATAATAATATAGTGTCTAATGTTGTATAGATAATGAATGACTCGCACTTTTGACCAATTTTTCATAATTTAGAACATAATCTAAAGGAAATACTAAATCGAAAAAAAAAAAAAAAAATCCACCTTGTTTTCTAAAAATTAATCGTATCCCAATTTTGTTGTACCTATTCATTTACCCTGTATATCGGATGTATTTGATTAAATGATATTTCTATTGTTGCAGGTACCACATCGTCATCCGGATCGATAACAGCATCGCTCACCGTAACAATGATTACTGCATGGTCCTACTTAATTAGGATATTTTAAGTATGTGTCTAATATATGTAAATTAAATTTAGAAGGGAAGTATGAAGCCAAAGACTTTTCCAAATATGTCTATTATAATCTTTAATACTACAGCTGATATGTTTTAAATATGTGTACATTCCTTGCTCATGTATATTATTATTACTAAGTAACCATTTTTTTAATTCAATTAAATGGCATTAAATTTTGCTGTAAAACGCTTACTCCACTACTGGCGAAGTAACCCTAGGTTGTTCGAAGTCGAATATTGTGGTGCGTTGTCTTATGTTTTCTCGTTCAACTTTCTCGTCTTGGGTTATCTTCAAAGTCCACAGTATTGACGAAATTGCTCAAGATTGACTGGGAACGATAGCGGAATGTTTAATTTTGGGTTAGTTTGATCAATTTTCCTTCGTCTTGAGCGACTGCAGGTGTCTTCTTTTGAGAGCAGGTCAATAGAAATCAATAAGCTAGAGGGTTCTAAAATACTTGATACAACTATATTTTTATACAAGACTATAATGGTATTTTATAGTCGACCGATAAGATTAATTCACTAGATACAATAGTACTTTAACCGAAAGGGTAGATTAAATGATACGTTAACAGCGCGGATAGGTTAAACACTTTATTTCTTCTCGCACGTTTTTTAATTGCTTCCATTTTTGAATTTTTTTATATTCCTTTTCATAAGTTATTCGGGATTTAAATGGAAGTAGTTTGGATATGGCGTTTGTCCTGAATATCTGTTGGTAATTTAGTTATTTCGTTTTGAGACATTTCTGGCTCAAATTCAATCAGCAATCGACACCAAAGAGAATTAAAAAATATTGACTCAAAACTGACAACCAAAGAGACAGCTTTATTTTTTTTCAAATTACATAGAAACCAACGCCAACCCAGCACAATATTTTTTCTACTCGTAATAAATTCCTTGAATTAATAATTTCTGAATATTTTTTAAAACGTAACTCGCTATGGAAAAACATATTGTTTTATACACGACGATAAAATTGCATTATCGTCTCCCGAAATTAATTCACTCGCGAATTAATCTTTTCCGCTCGACGATAAAATACCATTTTATCGACTTGTATAAAAAATAACTATTATTTAAAGGGTATAATAAATCGAAAAAAGATGAAGACTAACCCCCTATAGCTACGAAACTAAGCAGAATCGGACCTATGTTAATATGAAAAATAAATCTTATTTTTACGAGAGGAATCGCATCACGAGAGATGACCGCATGTTTTTTGAAACACCCTATATAGATACATTTCGCGAGCCAAGTTCGCCAAGGTTTAACGCAACATAAGAAAAACACTGAAATTTTCCGTGGTAATTCGGTTAGTATGGTAAGTATAGTTAGTAACTTCGACTTCTGTCAACTTACAGAAGTATTTTGCCAGGGAACTTCTTGCGAGTAGTCTAGAAAAGGTTTACGTTTTTCATCGGGCTTCCCTTCGAAGCTTGACGAAAAGATAACTTTTGCTATTAATTATTCATAATTTAATTGCCTAAAGGGTCCTAATTTATGCATTCGATTATTGGCAAGATATATAAGGTTGACGAGGCAGTCTTAAATTTATTATTTTTTTATTTGAATTTAATTTGAATAGTAAGCATTTACTTTACAGATTTGAGAAGCTAAAAAAACAAACTAATAAAATAATACAATTATTTCTTGGACTAACCAGGAGCAAAATTATTTGCAAAAACATGTTGAAATTTGCATCATAGCTGAAATCCCCTACGAATTTAAATAAATTAATTTTAACTTTGACACTTTTATTTGGTACTTTTTTGTTTTCAATTTTTTTTTCCGTAGCAATGTCAATTAAACGTGGGAGACCACTACACCCAGAGAAAATCTAATTATTTTATTTTCACGTACATACTGTCAAAAATGGATGTTTATCGTATTTTTCAATCCCATTTTGTAAATGCTGTATCAGACCTACTAACAGGTTTTATTTTGTTACCCTTATACTGTTCTGATTAAAAATGATCGATTAATTTTTGTGTTGCGTCAGGAAATGTTGGTTAGGAAATTTTCAGTTTTTAATTATTCTTTTTTCTGTTATTATAATGATACTAATAATAGCGTTGATTATTAATTTGATTTAAAGTTATTAATTTTTGTGTTGCGTCAGGAAATGTAGGTTAGGAAATTTTCAGTGTTTAATTATTCTTTTTTCTGTTATTATACTGATACTAATAATAGCGTTGATTATTAATTTGATTAAAAATTATTAATTTTTGTGTTGCGTCAGGAAATGTAGGTTAGGAAATTTTCAGTTTTTAATTATTCTTTTTTCTGTTATTATACTGATACTAATAATAGCGTTGATTATTAATTTGATTAAAAATTATTAATTTTTGTGTTGCGTCAGGAAATGTAGGTTAGGAAATTTTCAGTGTTTAATTATTCTTTTTTCTGTTATTATACTGATACTAATAATAGCGTTGATTATTAATTTGATTAAAAATTATTAATTTTTGTGTTGCGTCAGGAAATGTAGGTTAGGAAATTTTCAGTGTTTAATTATTCTTTTTTCTGTTATTATACTGATACTAATAATAGCGTTGATTATTAATTTGATTAAAAATTATTAATTTTTGTGTTGCGTCAGGAAATGTAGGTTAGGAAATTTTCAGTTTTTAATTATTCTTTTGTCTGTTATTATACTGATACTAATAATAGCGTTGATTATTAATTTGATTAAAAATTATTAATTTTTGTGTTGCGTCAGGAAATGTAGGTTAGGAAATTTTCAGTTTTTAATTATTCTTTTATCTGTTATTATACTGATACTATTAATAACGTTAATATTAAAATTATAATATTTAATAGCTACAATGCAAAATTTGAAATAGTCTTAAATCAACGTTAAGGTTAGTAAACTAACTGCAAAAATTGGGTCCCCTTTAGTGCTTAACATCCAGATAATTTTACTTTGTATTTTATAATTTATACTATTAGTCTAAGAGCTAGCAACGTTTTCGAGAAAGTATTTTAAGACATTTGGCTCTTTGATATATCTTTCACTATGCTCTCTGGAACAGCATGCGGCCCCGTCTGGCTGCCGGTACCCGTTGTGTTCACTACTGCGCTTCGGAAGAAAATCCTATATTTTTTATTAATTTAGTCCTTTAAATTCTAGTATTGAATATAAATCGAACATGTCTCCATAGCGCAGTGCGTAGAGTTTCCGACCACGAACCGATGATTCAGAGTTCGAATCCGGGTCAGGACAAAGACTATTATTTTATTTTCATTTATATTCTGATAGTAAAGTATTAAATAATTCTGGTAATTTAAAAAAAAACAAATATTTAATACTTTACTATCAGAATATCAACGAAATTAAAAAAGTGTTTGCCCTGACCCGGATTCGAACTCTGAATCATCGGTTCGTGGTCGGAAACTTTACGCACTGCGCTATGGAGACATGTTCGATTTATATTCAATACTAGAATTTAAAGGACTAATAAAAATATAGGATCTTCTTTCAATGCTCAGTAGGGAACGCAACGTTTACCGGCAGCCAGACGGGCCGCATGCTGTTCTAGAGAGCATAGTAAAAGATATATCAGACGGGTGGCTCTTTGATATACCCGTCTTAAAATACTTGTTTTTTCGACGTTGCTAGCTCTCGTACTATATAGGCTTGGTGTATTCTTCGCCGGTGCTGCCACCATCGGAAAATGCTGTAAAAAACGGACTAAACAAATATACGGATTTAAATAGCTAATACACGAAAAAAAATTATATAATTATTCTAAAAGTGTTAGGAAGTACAATTTATGAAAATTCTAAAAATAAAAATAAAATGTATACATTTTGATATCTTCAGAAGGTTTAACTTTTGTTATAATTTATAATTCAAATTACTAAAACTTTTTAGATGAGTTCAGCTACAGTAGCGAGCATAGCTTAACCTACCGATTTTGCTAGTGGGAACCTAACTGGGGCTATTTCGGCTGTAACGATTTTTCTTTGGCACATGATTATAATTTTAGAAGATGTTCATAAGAAATTTAAATACTAGTTGATTAAAAAAGTATACCATTAATATTTCAAATTATATTTTATCCTCTCATAGTATATGCCTATTTAATTTTTTGATTGTGTAATGGACACTTTGTTTATTTACTTGTACCTTCGAACTACTTCAATCCTTTTTTGCCGTGAAGCATAAGAAAGTTAATTTAATAAAAAAAATAATGTAATAAACATAAAATGTTGTTTTGGGACAGCTGAATATCTGAGCTGAAGCTAGACAGTTGAGTTACTGAATGTTATTGCACCCAACAACCACGTAATAATGCCCTCCTTTACGTGTTAACATTTTTTCAGCAATTTTATTAGCCTTTGAAATTGTCAAACAGTTCGAGTTTTTTAGCACTTAGGGTGTATTCCGTTGCTTACCTTGGTTATGGTTATATGTTCCGTTTCTATCGGTTTTCTGAAAGTTTTCTTATTACGGAACATGGTTCCTGAAAAATTCGGTTATAACTGTCACCAAACTAACTTTTCTGGTTTTGTTCATGTTTTGTTTGTCATTCAATGTCATTTATGTGACAGAAATCAAGCAAATATTGGAAGTTCGAGTGAAATTCTCATTTAGTTTCTAAAATGTGTAATAATATTTTGTATTTACATCCAATAGCAATGGAGGTAGGCAGTAAAGGTAAATAAATTTCATTAATTAAATAGAATTACTTTTTAGGACCATTTAAACTTATCATGCAGCCATTGTTTCTTAAAGTCAGGAACATTTAAAGAAAACATGAAAAACAAGACAACAAGTAATCGTGAATGTTTTGTAAGCTGTAAAATTATATATATTGATTAGGTTTGTTTATTTATTATTGATCTGTTTTAATTTTGAACCTGCAAATCTTCACTTGAGCTGTTTAACGAGTTTAACAGTTTATTAATAAGGTACTTTTCAATATTAAACTCCATTGAAAAGAAGAAGCAAACGTAAAAGCAGAGAATAGGTACATTAAAAATGCATAAAAGATAAATTTTATAATAGAGGTATTGAAATTTAGAAAACGTCAATATTTGACGTTTCCAGTATTTTACCAAACCGTTCCGTATGAAACCGATATTTTTCAGGAACCGCTCTTTACCGTAGTTTACCGATCTGGTTCGCCTGGTTTTGCAACGGAATATAGCCTTAATTTTCACTATCAGAAACAGCGTGACATTACGCAAACCTCGTGACTGAGTGTTTTGTAGTTTCAATAACTGCACTATTAAAAACTAAAATAGTTAAATAAAGCCACGATTTTAATATTATTTCAATGCGATTGAAATCAACGGTAACGACTAAGTGATATACTTTAGTCTTGCACTTCTTATTTGTCGTATCTGCTGCGGTCTGAATTTTTAAAATCAACTAAAATGCACCAAGCCTATTAAACCCTCATTAAAATCGTAGAATAGTGCTTGCTACTATCAGAAAACAATCATTTTTGTAGCACGACATAAAAACTTTTCCATAATGGAAAACCATTATGGAAAATGTCTGAAATATGTAACAAATAACATACAAATTTTTATTAAGTGTTATAGGAAATAGTGTTATGTCTCTATACCAGTAATACATTGTTTGCGTTAAGTTAGTGTTAGATTTTATCGTAGTGTATTTGAGTATGGATAGTAATGTACTGGTATGGAAAACACTGTAATTCAATGGTCGATAAAATATTTTTTCAATAAAAATATGTAATTCTAACTTACTATACAGGCTGAGTCTTATAAATAAGTGCAAATATTTTCAGGGGTGGTATATTTCGACCCCAGGAACACGTCTATGAGGTATTTTTCGCTAAAAGATGTTGAAAAACGTGCATTTTCTTTTAAATTTCCCTCTATATTTTTCGAAAACTTTAGAACGGCCTGTTCGCCGCAAATTTTGCCATGGTATAATTCCTTAATCTCAGATATAACCATAGTTACATCTTTACTCTATGGTTACGGCACTAAAAGGAATGCAAATACAGAAGAAAGCCGGTGGCTCTCAAAATTTAAAAAAAATCATTTTTTTTTTAATTTTCAAACTTAAATAATTGGGTTATTTTGGACTTATCTGAAAAATGGTAAAGAGAAAATATGTTTCTTTCATCGATATCTACCAGACCTGAAAATATTTGCACTGATTTAAGACTCACCCTGTATTAATAAAAATAAAAAAATATGCGGTAAAGGAATACTTACATAAGTGTTTCGTGTTATAGCAGTGCTGATGCATGTTATAAACTTGGTTTGGAAATTATTTAATAATGTTTTGTATCATATATTTGTTGTCAGTCAATAGAAAAATACTGAAAATCTTTCACTCTATAGTGAAACGGCTCAACCTTCGTTTAGCTGAAATCAGTTATGTAACAAATATTTGTTTATTTAGTATTTGGTTGTGGTGCCTTTTCCTTTTTTTAGTGTTTTTTTTATAAGTGATTTCAGCTAAACAAATGTTCACCCATTGAAACAAGAATTATTAAGCCTTATTTTAACCAGATATTAAATTATTTTTTCATCTGGACTTCAGTTTTTATTCAAGTCATTATGCCATAATTTCTAAATATTTTCTAAATATTTAGTTTAATAAGTAAATGTATATAAGGTTGACTAAGATGGAATATCTAGTTTCGAATATCAACCCACCTAACAAGATTTTTCAATGAAACGAATAGTTACACTATTTATTAAGGCTGTGTGTAGGTAAATTAAATTATTTATATATTCTTCTATATTTAATGGTTTAAATTCTAGATACATTATAAAAAGGAAATTATTTTCAAGAAATTTAAAGATTTTAAAGTTTTTATGATTTTCTAATATTAACAAAGTCAATTAAGAATAGTGATTTACTACAAGAATATAGGTTATTTATTTAGAATTAAAACTAATTGAAGAATCTTGTTAAAAATCTTGAAAGGATTTTAAGCAAAATTTATTTTTATGTAAAATGATTCCCTGTGATTGAAATATATCTTCGGCTATAGCGTATGCCAGAAAAATATATTGTTAAAATTTGTTTTAGGTAAAAATAAATATAAAACAGATATAAAAATAATAGCTTTGATGTAAAAAGCTAACATATGTAATGTTAATTTTTGTATAAATCCCTTAGTGTATAAGATATAATATTATAACCTATTGCAAAATATTAACATTTCAGTAGAATGGTTTGCAGTTGGTTAATAATATCCTACAGAATTACTTAAAGTAAAATGTCGGTGTTTCTGAGGTTCATAACATCAAAAATATACTAAGGGCTGGCAAAGGTTAATCTTGGGTCGAGATTTCTGTATGTAAGAAGAGTACAATGCGTTTATAATGTACTGAACAAACATAGGACAGTAAACACGTTACCAAACGTATGAAATAAACCGAGAAACTGTGCACATCGCTAAGAGAAGTGGAGGGGGATATAGCAGATTTGTCGCAGTTGACCGGTCTACCAAATCAATACCTCTTAAAGTTCTAGGGAAAGGTGTACATCATGCGTTCAGCTTCACGATTTAATTACGTCTCGTGATACTTAATTTGTTTATTTATTAACGAGTTGTTGTAATTTTCCCTATAGCTTGAATTTTTTAAGTGCAAGCTAGAAACCCTTACATTTTTGGTAAAAATAAGTGGAATTGGGTGGGTGTTCGATAGTGGTCGCGCTATTAGAACTCTGAATTCAAAAATCAACATCTCGAAATCTATTAGAAATAATAGATTGTAGTTTTTTCAAGAACTTTGTTAATATTTCTGCTGTATTTTCTTTGTGGACAGTATGTAAAAATCTTTAT